CTGCCTTGCTGAACAACTGTGGGAGGCTGAAGATCAAGATAACTGAAGCTAAAATAGGGCATCAAAAGAACCTGTCTTATTAGGTATCCTGCTACAATCATTTTAGAAGTCAACCTCAATTTCAAATTTCACCTTATAATATAGTAGTAACACTTCACCCTAACTCATCCCAGAAGGTCAAATTTTGTTACATCCCCAGTGCAATGCCAGTGTCTTCAGCTGGACAAGCACAGGTTGCAAGGGGGAATAGTCTTCAGCCTCAACATAGGTCTTCTGTAGTGCATTGACTTCAGCAAGCTGTAGTAAACCTGCAAGGATATATCAAGAAAAAAAAACAGGTACCATGAATGGGCACAGCTCAGGATTCTAGGTCTTTGATTGCACACCTCTTTATAAAAAAGCTGCTCTCAATGAGCATATTGATACTGTCAGAAGAGAGCTGACCATGTACATTTCCTCACTATGGGCTTGTTAATGTACCTAGTGTTTTGTGGCTTACTGATTGGCGAAGGTAGTTTTAACACCTAGATGATAACGACTGGAGTTCAGTGAATAAATGTGAAAATCAGCAGGACTGGTACACAGTGTAGTAAGAACACACTCTTGTAAAGAGGAAAACTGGCAGGGCAAAGTGCAGTGTTAGGAGTTTGATGACCCAGGCTAGTATATTGCTGTATAATGTTAGCACTTGCATCTAGTATCTGTGATACTATGGACAGAAACAGTGTTGTGATTCTCAGATTTTTGTATGCACAGATTTTTGTGTACTGATCACTGAGGAAGGTTGTATGCAAGAAATATCTTCTGCAGGAAGATGGCTAATATAATTCATAATGCTCAGCCAACAAACTTCCTGTCTAACACAATTTGCAGATTCTGTTACTCTCTGTATTTTCACAAAGTGTTAGAGTCCCAGTTTTGGATTAGGACCCCTTTATTCAAGATGTTTGCAAACTCAGAACCTCAAGACAGCATCTGCCTTGTAATGCCTAAAGTTTTAAATATATATTGGAGGGCAATGCTGGCAGAGGCAGATGGTGAGGACCTTGAGGGAATTACAAGACAATCTGATCTTTGTAATTAGCAGTCATTCCAGTATGACCACGTCCTTAAGAATGCATTTTTTATTGCACAGGTGTCATTGAAGAAGTTAAGCAAAGACACTAAAGTAAAATAATGAGGTACCTTTCTGTTTGTTTATGCAGTTTCCTGACTGAGGAGAGTCCTGTCTAGGTAAATGACAAAATGCATGAGGTGAATTGTTTTTAAACTTAACACATGGTCAAAGATAGCTGTCAACTTTAGTCCATCAGAGAGAAATGATTTCCCAATAGTGAATGCAAGGGAGACCATGTTAGTCTATGGAAGCCTTTCTTTGATATTCACTAGTGAAATATATTCAGTAGTAAAAATACTTTGCTTAGCACTTTCTGTGAATAGATTTTGATGTGACTGCATCGCTTCTGTGCAAATGTATTTTTTATCTTTCTTTCTAGTTAT